GGGGGGGGGCGCAGCGCCCCCCCCAGCAGCACACCAGATCCTAATAAAACAAGTGTTGGCTGCAAAGATGAGACTGCGCAGCGCGGATACTTTCAACAGGTTGATTGCCTTGTTGCTAGCTTGGTTGGTTCCTGTTCTTCTTCTGTGTTGTGGGTCGTGGCGATTGCGGTTGTGGTTGTTGTCGTTGCTGTTGGTTCTCGTTGCTGTTGTTGTGAGTCGATCCGAACTCGAACTCGAACTGGTCCACCCCCCCTTATAAGTCCCTTAGTCGCCGATCCGAACTCGAACTCGAACTCGAACCGGTCCACCCCCCCCCGGCTCGAAAAAATGGGTTGTCGATCCGAACTCGAACTCGAACTCGAACCGGTCCACCCCCCCGGCTCGATAATTGTGTTGTCGATCCGAACTCGATCTCGAACTCGAACTGGTCCACCCCCCTCTCGCTCGATCCACGCAATCTCGCACATCGAACTCGAACTTGAACTCGAACTCGAACGGGATCAGTTAGAACTACCTGGGGCACGGCCTGAGGACACTGGATCTTTTGAGATCGTCGTGCGCTCCTCCCGCTGCAAACACTGCGTGCATCCGACCACGCCCTATGACCATTCACTCAGCAAAACGTATCAGGACTGAGAGGGTGCAGTGAATTTCACAGACGCGTTTAAGGTGTATGCGAGAGCATATCAGGCCATGATTGCAGACAATTCTATTTGGGAGTGCTGCTGTCCATACACATGACGCGAAGATGACTCCAATTGCTAGGAGAATGGCACGATGACTCAGAATGTCTACGGTTCAGGGCCGTGTACGACGATGTTAGGCTTTGACACAGTTGAGGCCGAGCCACTTTCACATTGCCATAGGGAGGTTTGTCAAAGTAGAGGGCCAGGTGGACATGTTTCTGTGCCTTGTGGTGGCAAGACTTGGAGTTTGGACAGTATGTTGCTAGTGCAGGTGGGGCCACGTCTTGTAGCATCTCACCAGCCCATTTGGGAGTAGCTTGGAACAATGCGAGGTGATGTTTGGGGATAGCTGTGAGGCAAGCGGCAAGCACCATACGAGGTGCTGTTGCCAATCCTGGGTTCTGCTTGAGCTTGATGCTCGCACCATGTGCTCAGCGACCGAGGATTGTTGAGCACGAGATCCCCATCCTCGATACCGCCAAGTTTGCCGCGATCGTGGGCATTGGGCCGAAATTTGGGTACAACTCTGTGCAGACCCTCAGCGTACAATGCTTGATCGGCAGAATCTCATGGCCACCACAGGTCCCTTGAGTGGAGGTGTCGCCAGGTGTGAAACGCAAGACCAGAGGCCAGAAGTTGGGTGGCAGATTCCGCACCCACTGAGGAAGACTCTTCTCATGAACTATCACGCGCCTCGCTTATATACTGAACGTGAACAGTTTCAATTGAACACGGGGAGCGCTAGGCCGCTAGACTTTTGGTCTTCCCGGTGCCCACATCTCCCACTGAACCAGACTGTGCCCAGGTAGACGAGTTCTCCATTTGCTTGAACAAGGACACCGCAGAACATTGCAAAACCACCTAGCAGAACCTACCTTTTCGTGCCATCCTGCCATTAACCACATTTGCCAAAGTATGCCTGGGCTTTGGACCAGCTAGGAGTTTAGAAAGCTCTTCTCAGCACACAAAAACCTACAGACAATCCATGTTAGTCTTTGAAGTTGCCTTGATGCTTATGTGATGCTGAGAGGAATCTGGTCGGCATGGTTACTTGACCTGGGGCGCTGACGAGCTGACTCTGGAGACAGACAGGGTTGGGTTGAGAACACTCCAACCTAGTATAGTGATGGCCTCCAACCTAAGAGTGATGGCCTCCAATTGTTGGGTGGGTATGGATGCCAACAATACTGCTTTTGGTGAAAGGGAAGACGGAAAGCGCGACCAGCACAATTTGACCAGCACAAATCACCACAGAACTCCCAGGGAGTGCTCACCAGGAGCCTGGATCCGTGGCCACTGCGCGTGTCTTTGGGAAGCATCATTGGGCCACCAATTTGACCCACATCTCTGTGGCCAAGGCAAGATGATTTCGTGTTGGAAAGAGATGAGAAAATCAGAACAACGCACCCCTGATTGATGCCAGTGATCGAAGCCTTAGGTGTTTGTTGTCTTGGACTCCTGGAGGGCTCAGGGGTCTCCGGAAACCGCTTAAACCACTTAAACCACTTCCAATCCTAAACAGTTTGGCAGTTACTTAACCCGCATCAAACATTCAAGAAACCTCCAAGGAGTCCTAATTAAGAGATCGTAGCGTCGTAGAGCCTGGATGGGTAAAGTAAAGTCCTTGATCAAAACATACCAAACCCTCCCACTGCTCGGAGGGGATGCATTCTGAGTTTACCGTCTCTCAAGTTGACAGATGAGCAGAAGTCGCTCAATTTTTCCAGCATCAATCCTCATGCCTTGGGCCTGTGACAGGCGAACACCACTAGCTCAGCTGGGGCCTGAAGGGGGCTGGGAGGGATTGATTCAATCGATCCAGAGCCTCACATCGAGAGAAAAGTCCAAGGTCTGTCAGCATGGCTGCGCTGCAATTGTGGACAGTGGGACTTCCTTAATTGCAGCTCCTGCCTCGGCACTTATGGAGCTGGGCCACTTGATTGGCCAGATCAAGGAGGATTGCGCGGCTTCTGTAGACTGTGTTTGGATTGTTTGTGGGGTAGTCTAGACGATGTTGATGTGTGGAAGACTGCGACCAGATACGCTTGCTGTGTCTCCGCTGCAGCTTGGGTAGTGGACGCAGGACTGCTCAAACCTTCACGAACTCCCGAACCTGCGCTTCAACTTGGATGGACAAGAGCTGGAGCTGCCCCCTCAAGCTTATGTCATGAGGCACGCCGTATCACGTCACCGGTTACCGACTCATGTCCAGTGAAGAAGCTGCACCCTGGCAGGGTGGTCGGTGCCAGTGTCGAGGCGGACAGCATTTGGGATCTGCTATTCTTCAAGCCCAAGATCCGGAAAGTTGATTCCTGCATGCCTGCCTTCATGGCACCTTGGATTCGTCAATTTCAAAGGAACCCGAGAAAACACAAGAATCTTGTTGTCACGTGGACCTCAGGAAATGGACATGAACACACAGCTGGGCGCGGTGTGGATTTTGGGCATGCCTTTTTTCCGAGACCTGGATGCAACATAATGCGACATCTATCCGTCCTCCCTATACTAAATGCACTTCTTTTTTGGGGGGGTGCGTGCTTGTAGACATACAGGTGAAGTTCAGCCCTACAGACTTTGGAATGTGCCATGGCCATAGACCCCTTGCTGACCGGCAGAGGCTACTATCACACCACCTTCAACAGGGAGAGGCAGATCATGCAATTTGCAAAGGCTGGTGACGACTGCGAACCTAAGTCCCTCCGTGGTCGGGAGGACGGATCCTCGCTTTTGCTTGGCATGCTTCTGTTCACTAACACGAGGGAGTTTCCTGAAAATCCTTAAAATTGGGGTGCTACTCCTGCATGTTCACTGAAGCCTGACGGGCTGGCCTGGGGTAAGGTGACAAGCTCTTCTTCGTGGCCTCAAAGGCGAGTGATGCAGCCTACCGGCCTCTTGATGTGGACCTCAAGCAGGTCTTGCCACCGAGATTTGCGCTGCAATATGGTGTCCCAGCACAAGACTCATTAAACACGAGATGAGCCGGGAACATGAGGATCAGGTCGCCAAAGCACGGTCAAGTGTAATTGTTCGTAGCCATGTCGAATTATTTGTTTTGTCTCTCTGTCTCTTTTTTTTTGCATATGTGTCATCTGTGTGTGTGTGAGAGAGTCCCATGAATCCCAACCCGCACTCCCGCAGACCTTAGTGGACATGTAGATCAGAATGTTTGCTGGGTATTGGGTACCATTGCTGAAAGTTCGATTGTTTCCAGTTGATGCTGCATGCTTGGCGCCGTATTCACAGCTACCGCACCAACCTGCTTGCCAAGGCAACCAACAGATAACAGACATGGAAATTTGATGAGCCTGATACAGCGCGTGCTTGTTGGGAGTTATTGCTTTCCAATATGGAAAGTTCAGGGCAGGACATCCCGATCTCAAATTCGGGACTTTGTTTTGCACCCCGGGAGCATGCCAAAAAGTCTCGACAAGCGCTTTGCATGAAGAGTGAAGGGTGAGGATGTTGTTATGATGCTTTTCTTTTTTTAACATAGAGAAGTACATGTATTCACACTCAAACTGGATAAATAACATTAAATAACATATATAGATATACATATATATATATAGGTATATACACATACATATGCACACACACACACATATATATATATATATATACACATACAGTATATGTATATATATATATACATACACTGTATATACACGCATGTGTTACCTTGTGAACATTATGCACTGTTGGCTCTTGAGGACCCTAGCGGTCCTAGCCTTCCAGCACACAATGAGAATGAGGAACCCACTCCCCAATGTCGGCAAAAGGCACACAAGGAGCCTGTTTAGCTAGTGACACCACCTGCGAGTCGCTTGCACATTCGTTCACGCGGCTCGGGAGGCTGCACACAACACTGCCGCGCGCCGTGTCTCTCATGTCAAGCCTGGCTCGCCGGTGCTTCCAGAACAGATGCACAGATCCGTTGGAGGCAGTGGCCAGTGGGGTTCTCACGCCAGGCCGGACGGATTTCAAGTGGAAGGAGGGCCAAATGTACATGTGAGACGCTAAAACACCCTTGGAGAACAACATGAAAAGACCAACAGGGAGTCTACATGCATACCTTATTGACAGTTCTTGCCAAGTTTGCTCTGCATGCTGTTCCTCATTGGTTGGGTTATTTATTTTAGCGGATGAACAGATTGCCCTGAACTATCAAGTTATATCAAGGACCAAAAGTGACCAAAAGCTACACGAGTTTTAGCACTCGCTTGTTTCATGGGGAAATGACTGATTGGCAGGTCAATGTGCTGACATCCAGCAGTGGGAGGTGCAAATCATCGAAACGATATGCAACAACTTCCAACAAGCCTGCAACAACGAAAGTGTGTACACAGGCCAGCTGTGAGAATGGTGATGTGTACACGGGGACTAGTTGCAGCGAATGATGACATGGGAATGTATCGAATCAGCACAGAGAAGCTTCCCGACGAATTCACAATCACTGGTATTTGCAACTAATGTGCAGGCGGCATTGCACATATAGTGCATGTCCAAGAGGTGAGGTGTCATATATCATAGAAACAAGTGCCACGCTAGTAGTAACAGGTGCCTTACTATTAATTTATATTTTAATTCCAATAGCTTTTTTGTTACTACTAGTAAGGCACTTGTTACTACTAGCGTGGCACTTGTTACTACTAATTGCACATATAGTGCGTGTCCAAGAGGTGAGGTGTCATATATCATTGTATCCCTAGATGTGATGGACTGAAGTTCCAGCAACTCAGACGCCGAGACGTTGTGGGAGCTTGTGAGGTGGTCCTGGTGTTGCTTATGCCCTCCTTCGGGCTGCGCGAAGCGGCCACGAGGGTACACTTGAACAGGCACAGCGATTTCTGGAACCCTGGAGAGGGCGAATCGCCAAGCAGGCACGGACAACCGACGAGTGGATTGGAATAGCAAGCTGCCCATGAGCAAAGCCACAATCCTGCAACCCCCGTCAATTTACAGTATTCCTTGGGCCGGATAACATTGGTCGTGGTGAAGCTGGTAGCTGTTCTAAGTGGAAAGTGGATCCTGGATCCTTTTGTGAAGCTGCTGCAAAGCTTGATTAATCCCTGCCGCCCCCAACCTTGTTAAGGCCCAGGGTGTCATTGGCCTCCCAGCTTGCAGTTGACCGTCACTGCTGGCTGGCCGGGACTATTGGGGGGGGGAGCTACGATTGGGTCGGGTTCTTGAGAGGCTTCCGACTAGATCAGTACATGATTTACGTGGATGTGATGTGTATGGCTACCAAAGGGTCAGCTCTTCTCATTCAAAGTTGCCATTTCAGTGGGCAGGCCAGCAGACATCCTGACATCGCCTGCTCACTCCTTTGCGGACGGGCCGGCTTCCTTTGTGTGGAAGCGATGCTCGCACGTACCAGGGGCTCGGCGACTGGAAGCGACGCTTGCTGCCAGAGCTTTGTCTGCATCTTGGAAGCTCGCTGTCATAGCGCGGCCTCACCAAAAAGGCCAGGTAACCCCCTCAGGCCCGTTCAAAAGTCTCGTTACTCCAGGTTCCCTCTAAGAGGTCGTACTGTAGTTGTTTCAAGCTGGGCAGGTAGAGCAATAATTCATTGTTGGTTTGGATTGAATGGGAATTGATTTCAGCCATGTGTTTCCATGTCAAGTTTCGGGGAAACCATTCAAGCTGACAAACACTTTGGGGGTTCCAGCTTCGGGGAACTCAGATCGGGATTTCCAGGGTGAGGTTTGGGGCTGCATCTGGTGAGTGGTCCACTTCCAAGCATGCAGAGTGTGCACGCAATGGTTGGATTTGAGCGAATGTTTGTTCAATCCAATTTACCGCCATGGCCTGCAGGGTGCCAGATCCAGCCAGGGTATATTTGTAAGAGCATGGGCACGTAAGACGTAAGTTTGCCATGTGCACCCAGGCAGGCAGCGTCTGAGTACATAGCTATGGTGCCCATAGCTACTCAAACTCAATGCTTACATGCCGACGAATGGCTTTATGGACGAGCTGGGTATTTGTATGGCTGTTTATTTTTTCAAAAGGCGGGCCTGACCTTAGCTTGAGGCAGTGCCAGTACGTTGGGCATCGCGACATAGTAATGAGTAATGGACCACTTGATTCTGCAGCGGACATTTTCAGAAAGAGTTAGACAGATTCAACATGCAACAACATACAGCAGCTGGTGGGAGAAGAGAAGCAAGTTCAGGCAAGTAGATAGGGTAACGTGCTGAAAAAATAGATATATCAAATTTAGCTACTTAGGCCACTGCTTACCGCTTACTAGCCACCTAAGGTACTATGGCCTACCCCCTAAGTCAAAAAAAAAGGTGCTGAAAATTATTTTGATTTTTCTCTGAGGATTGCAGACTTGAAAGTCAGACATTTCGCCAGTTTGCAGGTCCTCGGTGTTGAAGAGCCTTCCCTGGTGTCTGGCATTGCGTCTGTTGCTCGCTTGATGCTCTCGCGGGGCGTGGCATATGCCAGGCATTGAAGGGTCCGGTGGGCTGATCACAGATCGGAATTGTCGCGGATTCATGATTACACATTATAGAGCCTGACTTGGACTTTCAATTCTTCCAAGCACGCATTCCTCTCTGCCTGTGCGTGAGGCGGTTGAACAGCACAGGTTCTCGCTCTCCACCTCCCGTTATGTGGGAGTGGTGCCACGATCGCTACATGGGTGCAGCGCATGGAGTCATGGGCATCCTTTTCATGCTGCTTCATGTGCCCGAGCTACTGGAAGCCCCTCCGACTTGGTTTGTTTTGCATGTTTTCTCATCGTTTTCTTTCTTTAAATCTCTCGTCTCTCTGCCAATATTTTAAAGATTCGTTTCGCTGTCAACATTTGACACACCATTCCAGGGGGAGAGCCTGGACCTCCTCCGACAGAGCTTGCAGTGGCTAGCTACCATGAGACAGCCTTCTGGCAATTGGCCTGTTGTGCTACTAGGAAGCAGCTTTGAGAAGGCCCGAAATGACCTGGACTTGGACCAACCAGAAACGCATGTGGTTGCTTTCTTTAGTGCCCAAGTCTTGAGGTTTGGAGAAGGTGGGGCAGATTGCATCCACTTTTGCCATGGCGCGCTTGGGGCCTAGTTTTGGGAGGTATTGATGTCCGAATCCGGAATGTAGTGGTGTATATTACGGTGCATACATATACGTATGCTCACCCCCCCATGATCTACCTTTTCCTGCTCTCAGCTCTGGCTTGTCCTGCATTTTAGCTCTTCCACTTTTCATACTTCTCAGTTCTTCACCTTTTCCTGCTTGTCAGCTGCTTTTCTGTGCTTTGCTACCTGTGTGGAGTAGATTTTTGCAATACTTCCGCAAGATTTAAGAAGGGAGTTAAAGAAGAAATCAACTAAAGAGCTGAAAGGGAAATCACAAGAAATCAAAAAGAATTGAACGGATATCAACCAAAACAAAAAGGTTTTGTGTTATTTTTAAGGGAATTCACACATAAAGATGAAGAAAAATGAAAGGTGTAGATGTAATTGCGGGTATGTGTTTATTAAAGCCAAGCGGGGCAGACATTATGGGCTAACCCCTTGTGGAATAGGTTTTTGCAATAGTTTGATATACTATAATTAAAGAAATTGAACTAAAATAATTTGATTAATTAAGTGTGGTAAAATGAGAGCATCAATTTTTTCTAGTGACAAGTTACAGGTTGCACAGGGGGCTTCCTTTGCCTCTTCGCGGGCCTTTTGGACTGGAGCCATGTTCCCTGCCGAAGGGGGTTGACGTGGAAGTTGGCGAAGAGAATCCTGTTCACGAGAGGTGGTGGAGCTTGGAACGAATGGGTGGAGGAAGGCCCATGGGCGACACCGGAGCCAACAAGTCCACCCAGGATTATGGTTGTTGTTCCTTTCGCATGCGTCGCGCGCGCCCCCCGAGACCTCGTATCAAACAAGTTTGAGGCGCGCCCGCGAGCGAAAAGAGACCAGGCAAAATCCCGCAAGCTGGTGGTGGAGAAACCTTTTTAATGACAAAAAAGATGGAAAACGCTGTAAATATCGATGTCTTTTGCTGCTCGAGGGTTCAACAGTGGCCCAAAACCACGCTATTTTGCGTAGTTTCTGGTGCTTTTACGCAAGGAAGCCATGTAAATGCCGATGGTTTTGAGCTATCGAGTGCCCAAAACCACGGTATTTATGAGGTTTTCTCGAAAAACGTTATACTTTCAGCACTTCGCGCGCCACGCCCCAAAAAAGGTTGATATTTACGCAGTTTTGGCAATGCTGCGACATGTTCTTTCTAGATCGAAATTTGCGAAAGCGCGGTAACTTACAGTGTTTTGCGCCCTGGCGCAAAAAAGAGCTTCAAAACAGTCCTTGTAAGACCCAAATCCAAATCCAATCCAGACTTCAATTTTTTTTGTCCAATTTGCAGGCTTTTTTGACGATTTTTTCGGCCCTCCTGGGTACCCCTTAAAAAGGCCTCTCCCCAGGCTCAGGGATTTTGCTACATTTCTCGTCTTACCGTTTTTGGAATCGCTCCAGGGGCAAAAACGGCTCGAAGCGGAGGCGAGAGCGCAATTTTTTAAGCCCGATTTCGCAAAACACCGTAAGCGGCATTGGGAGCACCCCGCCGTAGCCAAAGCAGCCACACCATACGGCGTCACCGGAATGGAATGGGCTAACGCCCAGGGGCCGCCGGCCCCTATTTGGAGCCGGGAAGACAAAGGTGGTGCAAAAAGGGAAATGAAGAGGAGTCAAAAAGAAGGCGCAAGGAACCCAAAGCAACGGCACTTTGAGGTTTACAAAGTACTGCGCCTGCCGTGAATGCGCTTTGAGGTTCACAAAGTGCTGCGCCTGCCACGAAACCTGCAAACGAGCCACGTGTCCAAAAGTCACGATTCACTGCACCTGTCACGAAATCGGAGCGTTTGGAAGATCACCACCATGTCCAAAGTGCTGGGCCTGCCACGACATCTGCATTTCGAAGCAAAACTGCTCCGATCCCTTGCGCCTGTCACGAAGTGGACTTTGGACCACCAAAGCACGAGGTTTCCCGTGCACCTGCCACGAAAAGTGCCTAAAATGCGCTCGGCACCACAACGAGGGCGCAGTCGCGAAAAGCGCCAGCCGCGCCCACGCAGATTTTGCGAGCCTGCTCCGAGAGGCATGAATGCGCTGTAAATAGCAGCAGCAGCGAATTACCCAAACGCCCCCCTGCAACACCTCGAAAAGACACCGGTGCTTAACCACTACCGTAAGAACCCCTAGTGTGACCACACTGTTTGGAGAAAAACAAAAACACTAACCTGAAACCAAACTTCCCAACTTTGTTTGGCTTTTGGTCAAGACATGGTAAGAATAGAATGGTTTGCGAACTTTAAGTAAGTATGTTATTAAATATCCGTATCAAGGCAGCACGTTTTAAACACTTCTTTTTACCGCCTTGGTAGTAGTCAGCTGATGAGGAGCACTGTTTTCTGATAGGGTCAAGAAACAGTTTTTGCACCGGCAGGTGCCAAAAAACAGCTCTAGGTAGATCATGTGGGGGGCGTCCATACATGTATAGTTATATATACACATATAGATAATAGATACACATCTTGGATGTTAGGGCATGGAGGCTTGCCAACCCGCAATGGTCTTGACCAACTCCAAATCAAAGTTTCTAGGCCTCCTTTCTGTTTGGAAAAGCAGTGCTCAGGCTTGCTTGTTGTTACACAATGATTGCCAAGGCCCGGCGCCGTTTTCCTTTTCTGCAAGGCCTATGAAGTGCTGCGCGAGGAACAATGGCTGCAGCTGGCCAAGGACAGAGTGATTTAGCAGCATGACACATTTTTCATGATCAGTTTGCATCTCACGCACCACCATCCCTGAGCAAAGAACCATTGTTTGCGTAGCGGGTACTGGGCTGGGGAATCTTGCCAGGAAGCTGGTGAGGTGGTTTGGAAGTACGGCTTGTTAAAGAAAGGGCCAGGCATTTGTCATGGCATTGCTGGCAATGGCTATGGTTTCCTTTGCCTTTATCGTGTCACGGGACATCCTTTGTGGCTGGGACGCGCCTACCACTTTGCATTGCAGATCGCGACTCCGGAGGTGCAGAAGGACTCACGCACCCCTGACAATCCACTGTCCCTTTTCGATGCCTGGATGGAGGAAAACACAGTTTCCACTTGTAATTTCTATGCGATTTGATTGGCTTGAGCACCCAAATGAAACAAATGACATCGCTATGTACTGAGAGATTCTTCATTGGACAGACCTGGCCAATTTGAAGCTCAATGGCCCAATCTTGACTTTTCGTTTCGTTATGTTTCGTTGAAATATCGGAAATCCCTGTTTCACCAAGGAAGGTCTTGCTGGAACACTTTGCTTCCTGATGGACCTCCGGTTGAAACCGAAGGATGGGGTCCCAGTGCGGTGGAAGATAAACCAAATGTGTTTGAATCATGAAACGAGTTGGCTGAGCAGATGGGAACAGTCCCACAATCACGCACACACATTGTATATATATATATACATGTAAATGTATATGTATATATACATTATATATATATATATCTATTGTATTCCTTTTATGATTTCATATTCTATACAATATTTTTGTAATATATTATATTATACTATATTATACTATCCTACAATACATTTATTACATTATACTGCGTTATATCATACTGTATTATATTATACCATGCTATGCTATGCTATTCTATTCTATGCTATACTATGCTATACTATACTATACTATACTTATATGTATACAGTGTACATTTCCATTTTCCAACCTTGAGGCGGGGCAAGACAGCCACCGGTTTGGGTTTACTTTTGCTCTTGGAATTTGTGGTCAACATGTGCATCGGTGAGGAGGCAGCTTTTCCACTCTTTGAGCTCGAGAAGCTTTGGGATTCCAAGAGGAAGCGGTCTGCTGAGCCGGCGGCCGATAGAGGAGGAGGCTTCGAAGTCCCAGATTGAGCACCTAGTAGCTTCCCACAACCGCGGCACAAGTATCGTGCACTCTTTTGTTGGATCAAGTTGTTTTTGACATTTTTGGCTCTCATCCGTTGGAGTTGCTCCTCCTTTAGATACCCTCGCAACTGGCGTGTGCTCTCTCACAAGTGGAGAGCCAGCAACTTATATATGCCTGCATGTGCAGTCATCCAGTGACCTTGCTTTGGGCTATAGCTGGCAGTGGCTGCTCATGCCAGGATTCCTAGGATGTCTTTGAGTTTCATGGACAAATGGATGCGTGCATGATCCATGAGGCAAGCTCGGATAAAAATTGCTGAAACTTTACACTTTCTTGCTTGCAACCTTGGAACTCTCGATTGCAATGGAGGCACTTTCAGTGGACCCCTGCAATACGCGGGCGCTCTTTCGCAGAGGATGTGCGTATTCTAATGCCCGGACGTCAGTTGTTGGACATGGACAGTTAAACTTCAGGTTTGAACGGGGCTTCCCGGTTCAATAGACGCTCGCATTTATATAGATTCTTTTGGGCTAATCAGGCTCATTGTAACAGTTACTTGCGCGGCCAGGATCCTGTTTGGCAAAGAGACTTTGTCATTTGCAGAGGCTTCGGCTGAGATATTGACTTGAGGCGCAAGGGTGGCTTCTTGCCCGAAAGGATTTCGAGCAGGCGCTGCTGTGGCAGGACACAACAGATTGATGCCTTGATAGCATACAGGGCCTGCAGTCTACGCCGTACTTGTTTGTTTGCCAAGACACCTCCGTCAGTTCCCTGTTTGGATTGTGCATGATTGTGCTTTCAGCTAGCTGGGTTGGTGGCATTTTAATACAGTGAACAGATTTGAGCATCTAATGACTACAGTATTGACCCATTGTCAGTTTTACTTTTTGCTTTCAGCTTCTTCAAACACGAGTCTTACTTGACATGGAGCTGTAGCTTGTTGTGGCAGACAATGTGCTCTGGAAATCACGTGACACGTCCAAGAGAGTCAGTCGGCTGCCTATCAGAACTCGTGCCTTGGGCTAGTGCATGTCCGCATGGCGACTCTGGCCGATCTGATCTTGTCACAAGAGGAGCCCGATCTTGATGATGAATCCTTGGCCAGGGAATTGGCCGCGCTGCGCGAGAAACGACGCGAAATGGACGAGGCTGAAGTGGAGCGACGGGAGGCGACAGGGCGACAAGCACCGGAACGACCCTCTTCTCGCTCCGACTCCAACAGACTACCTCGGTCTCGTCCGGTGTCGCGGGCAGAGCCAGTGCGGCAAGATGATGCGGGCAATGCGTGTGAAGGGCTCCAGCTTCAGGAACTTAAGCCTTCTTTGGCCGATGCAATTCTCGCCAGGGCTGAAGAAGCCGAGGAATCGATCGATAAAGAGATCGAAGAGATGGATCGACAACTCAAGCTGAAAGTTGAAGAGTTTCGAAAGCAACAACGCGGAGGCTCTCCAGAGGATGCTGGTGCTGAAAAGCAGGATGAACGTCCCACATCGGGGCTGGTAGAACCGAGCTTCAAGCCCTGTGAGTCCAATGAAATGGGTTGCACAGGTCACTTGCCGATCATGGACGATGAACTGCAGGAACTGAAGCACTTGGCTGCAAAGATGGATGAAGCTTTTCCGGAGTTTCCAGCTCCTGCCGGAGATGCTGGGCCAGTCCGTCGTCCTTCAGCCGGTGGCTATCAGGAGCCAGATGGCCGTAGCCTTCCGATGGATGATGAGGTCTCTCAGTTCAAAAGCGCCCTTGAGAACTTAGACGTTCGTTTGCGGGTGCTTCAAAGCAAGAAGGACTGCTTGAACTTTTGGTTTTGTAGAGAGCTTAGACCTGGTTCAATCTCAACTCCCACGCATTTCTCAAAAATCTCGGAGCCTATTGAACTCTCGGGTGTCCCCTTGCTTCTCATAGTAGATCAATATTATACGGTGGCTTGTTATGCTTCTCAACCACCCAAACCCAGCTCTGAACTTTTCTTTGGAGGATCTTCAGAGTTATGAGGAGCCAGTTGTCAAAACCCCCGTCATCAAGGACTTGCAGATGCAGAACCAGGTGGACATAGGGACACGGGCGAAGACGGTAAAATGCAATGCCGCTAATCATTTTGAGTGGAATGGCCACCAGGTCTTCAATGTTTTGTAGAGTGTGCAGTGTGCCCAGAAACTCCTCTGACCACATACAATGTAGAGTCAACAGTCAACAGAACTTTTGAGAAGAAGAGGTGCAGGCAGAGTTGTTTTGAGTGGATTCCCTTCAGTCTTGTTTTGGGTCATCATTGCTTGCTGGCCAGGTGCTACGGGATTTGTTGTCTGGTGAAGGACGCAAAGGAATGCTACACTTGGATCGAAAGCTGTTCTCGCCCTGAGCATGTTGAAGTCTTCCACCACAACGCAGCTCCAGTGGTCCTGAGGGCAAGTATCAAAGGGATGTGTTCCCTGAGAGACTGTTTCACTGAATTCGTTTCGCCATATGGAAAACTCATGAAAACTCAGATTCAATGCAGACTGTCGCCTTTGTCATTCGCTTCTTTTTGAGTACCATCACTTCTTCGGTCAAGCTTTGCAACAAAGAAACATGTTTCCACCCCGACCTCCCGTTTTTGCATTTCTTTATCCTTGCAGGAGACCTATGGGCCACACACACACACACATATATATATATATACATATACTTATACTGTAGATGGGAGCACATGAGACTATCATGAGACGCATGAAATTCTTGCAGATTACCACATCCTGACATTTGTAGGTCCTGCGCCTCGAGCCCAACAATGAGGCAGCGCGGCGAGAGTTGGAGAAATTGGAGGCTCGATCCGGTTGGTGGAGGCCATCTCTATTAGGTTGGAGGCTATCGCTACTAGGGTGGAGGCCATCGCTATTAGAAACAAAGAGAAAAAGGAAGAAAGGTCTGATATAGATGGCCTTTAAAGAAAGGGTGTTGAATGATCCAAGGGACCCAAAGACTAAGGATGGGAACACGGATGTTGTGACAGGCGGAGTTGCCTCCAGCGGCTCCAGATGTCCTGGCGAGGACGTCCCAGTTATTCTTCTCCTTCAACGATGCGTGGTAGTTGGTTTGGCCTGGACATGTTAGAAACGCCGTGGGCAAGCTTCTTCGGCTTGTCTTCTCAGGAGGCAAGAAGATCTGCCCGTGGCTACTGTGCCCAAGGATCCAGCTGCTGCAGTGAGGCCTGTGGCTTGTTGCAGATGTTGGCAGAAAAAAGGCATGTGCAATACTGTATAAGTCATGGCTATTTGTTTAGGTTAAGAACAAGTAAGGCAGTTGGAGTTTGAGACAACCTTCGCCTGTGCTAGGTTGAAACGCATCAGACCCAGCATTGCCCCGAATAAAATTGAGCGTGAACGCCAGCTGACAATAGCCGTGGGCTGGTGTTTTGTTCAACAAGTCAGGATGGCTCAGAAGGAAGCTGAACGCTTTCGCAGAGAAATCCTCGCAATGGCTGACAAGAAGGACTGGACACAGGTTTTGAATCCCAACTTTGGGTTCACGCGACCCAAAGGTGTTTTTTGATGCTTCAATGGTGGAACTCTGCCAAGTTGTGCAGGGCTGCGTCTCAGACTGGTGCAAGAAATTCAACAAAGTCCAGGCGGTATGCTGGCCTTTGTGTGAACACAGAATCAATGAAAGTCGACAAGTCGACAAGTCGACAAGTATATAATAATGCAAGATAACAGTTCTGAACACAGAGAGAGAGATAGATAGATAGATAGATAGATAGATAGAGTTAGAGTAGTCCTTTCAGACATGCTGCCCGCCAATGGGATCAGAGAACCCTGAGCTGAGTAATACAGCCTCGCCAGTGTCTCAAGGTGATGGCAGTGGATTGGGCCAAACACCAGCTGAAGGATCCGGAAATTTTGCAGGACTGATGAACCAGCATGCTTCGGAGCAGGATACTGTTGGTGTAGGTTTCCATTCGTCTCATTCATTCCACCTGGTACCACAGTGTCACGTCAGAACATGCATGAACATGCACTGACATGGGGTGACTATTGCATTGGCTGCTTTCACTCTGGGTGCGGCAGCATTTGAGAGAGGATCATGCGGTATCTGCTTTGTTTCAATTGGGATCGGCCGCTGGGCCGTGTTCACCAGGATCTACTCACGCTGCGGGGCCCTCTCTTCCAAGCGATGGACAGCCAGCAGCGCGAGGTCGGGGCGTCCAGGTTTGGTGGAAGTGTGTGTGCTTTCCCTCTGGCGTGCCGCCATAGAAACTCGCAAGGTTTAAAGAGTGGTTTTGCCAAACGAATCTTTTCTACTTGAGATGTGTGGAGGTGAGGCTTCATCCTCTAGCTGTCAGCCCTTGTTTGTGAACTGGCTTCTGCCTGATTGTGGAGCTGTGTTCAGGATTTCCTGTGCGCGTACGATTTTGTCCAGGAGGCCAGGTCTGCCGTGAACGTGGTGATTCAATGCTATGCCATTTCATAGACGTGCTTTGATGATTGGTGAATCATATGGAGCACCTGCCACAACTGAAAACCAAATTGCAAGAACCTTTGCTCACAGAACGGATGTAGAACTAACTAATCATCAGGAGCTTTGGACTACCCTCCTCATCCCTCCATGATTGGTCAGCATTGCAAGCACTTTATTATTCAATGGGTATAATACTGTCGTTCTCGGTGGACTGGCTGCAGACTGGCTGAGAATGATAGCATTTGCTCCTCTTTTGACTCTTGACTTGCTTTTGTCTTGGTTGGGAGCAGCTGTGTGGAGGTGCGGCAGAGGCACCAAGAAGAAATTGAAGCTGAGCTGCATGTGTCTACATGGGTGACATCACTCTGCGGTGTTTTGGCAATGCCAGGGTTTCAAGAAGTTAGCGCTAACAGTTAGCCGTCTCTCAGGACAAGCTCTTTGAAAGCTGAGCAGCGCTGCTGCCTGGCTGGTTCATGAGAAAGGCGACGTTGTTCTTAACATCCCGGATGTGACACAAAGTGAGAATCGCCGTGGCAGGTGCTATGTGGAAGTGCTTCCAGATGCGAACTGTTTAATAATAATCAGAAGTTGGTCGGAACTCTGCTACAGTTTCCGTCTTGGTGCCAAGACTTCAATTGGATCCCTGTTGTGATCAGGTTGAGAAGTTCCAACCCAACTTGAATGTAGGTCAAAGGGTGCGCCAGCTTCTTTGGATGCATGACAAAACATTGTCATCCCAGACAACAAGGTGCTGCCAGTAAAATCCATGGTTGGGTATGGTTGGGTGACAAGGTTTGAATGATGAGGCGAAAGGGCGGGTTGTGTTGGAACACTGTACCGACGAAAGTTTGTTCTACCATCCTGCACAGGCCCGGTCTGCCCAACCAATCGACCAAATTTTGCTCCTGTATGGATACATATGCTATATATATATATATTTGTTTGTGTGTATTGATATATATATATATATATGGAGGTTATGTACATTTGAGGGTTGGGTTGGGCGTTGGCTTCAGAAATAACCTTTGTGCAGCATTCGAGAAGAAGGCTGAGGGCTGAGGGACCACTGACACCACGCAATCTTTAAGGGTGGTGAGCACAGCACCGACAGCTGCAGCAGAAGGAAAGCTTGACCGCAGCAGCTGCTCAAAACCCCTTGGTCCACGTTGGGTCCGGCAGGCGGGGAGATGCAGGGCTTTGCGGCTTTGCAGGGCCCTGGGCATCAGAGCCTCGTGAGTTCTCCATTGGACCTCAGGCGGTGAGGTCATATCCAACTGATTCCAAACCTTGGATCAAGGTGAGTTGAAACATTTCAAGACCCAAACATCTCCATGATGATCCTGGAGCTGGGCAGCTGTGGAACACCCCACGTTTCCCTTGGTATTATGCACATAAATACACCTAAGCTGAACACGCTGGCAGACAGAGAGAGCTTATTTTGCTCGAGTGTGTGGCCTTTGTAGTGGCATCTTTTTTAAACACCCTTAGGATTGCAGTTGTCTTAGTTGTACTTTCAGTGGAGGGGCGAGGGGCCCGCGCGCCCATGGTGACCCCGTTGGGGTTTCTGGACACGCACACCTGCGAGCAGATTGGCTCAACCGAGCCTTGTGTCGATCTTTGGTCTTCCCTCGTGTGCCTCGGACCTTTTCCTGAAGAGGGGGTGTGTTTTCAGGACGCAGATTTTCAGGTGCATTACTTGGATCGGGATGGGCTAATTAAGCTCATGTCCTGCCAGTGGGCCGGCCATTTGCTCTTGGAGGACCATCGGCTGTTGCATGAACGAGATCTTTGGGCATTCCCACCGCCTGTGTCACCAAGTGACCCCTTCGGACGCATTCCATCGAGTGAAGATGCAGGATGTGCCGAGCTCTTAAGATCTGGAGACTTCCTTTTCCATCACCTTTATGTGGCGTCTGTAGGCGTGGTTGATGGTATTGATGTTGGGCTCGGGCTTTTTGCCATGGCTGAGATTCCACAAGGTACTGTCCTGGGTGAATATACAGGGGTCTTGTCGCGGAGAGTAAGCGAAGATGATGGAGTTTATGGCTATGGACTGCCAGTGGTTGATCCGGACCTTGTGATCAACGCCAAGGACTTTGGAAACCTTTGCCGCCTGATCAACCACAGCGAGGATGAGTGGAACGCTGAGTTGATTACTGTTCACCACGAAGGCATGCTCCATGTGGTCTGCAGAGTTGTGAGTGACATCGTGGCAGGGCAGCAGGTATTGATCCACTACGGTGCCCGCTACTGGCGTGTGGAGAGCCGCTGCCGAGTGCAGTTGTCTAGATGTGGACAAAGTGGAAGGGTTCATGAGGCCGGTGGCTACTTGTCACATTGAGAGCGCAGTTCGAGAGTTTAGTTCCAGGCGCAGACAGACTAGTGACTAGTGATTCGCCTTGTCCTTGGAGTTTCTTGGATTCCCTGCAGCTTCGTCAACGTGAACTACAGCACAATGCCGGTGTGACTAGCATTTTTCAGAGCTTGAAGCCGAAGTTGATCGATCGTGTGATGGAAGTGTCCGTGCCTTGGTCCGTGAGACCGGCCGTGATCGTCACCCGACCCGCACGCTGTGCCGAAAGAAGTGCGGAGGCGCGAGGCGCCTGTTTCATCAGGACGGCAACGTTTGGGACCCGACATGGTTTGGAGGGCTCACACACTTGAGGGTTCACAGTTCTACCCGTTGTTAGAGAGTCAGATGTGCTTCCATACATGGAAGCAGGTGATCCAAAAGAAAGATCAGATGTTGATGGGACGGTGTGGTCCCAAAGGGTTCCCTGTCCCAGGCGATGGCGGCAGCTTTGTCGTGGGATGCGGGGTCCTAGGAATGCGGCTGGTTGGATTTGTGTCTTTGAATGTCCTTGGCGCGGAACGTACATTGTATATACATGTTGATCTTAGCGCATTTTTTCAGTAAGAGATGCGACATGAAACTGAGCCTCCAGTTGAATGTGCAATGGAAAAGGACACATGGGAAGCATGTTTTCCAACCATCCCTGGCCATTTTTGTTGCAGTTGTGGCTCAGAAGCAGCGCTTTTCCGCTGTGGGCAGTGGGCCCTGGAAGGTGGCGGCCTCTTACAAGACTTTGGACTTTCATGACTACAATACAAGGTTTCATGGATATCTTGCCCGTGTTTGGAAACGGTTTTCAAGACGCCAGGTCCCACCAACGGTCGTGATGCGAACGTGTCTCTTGGCTTTGGGGCTGGCTTTGGGGCACGGAGAGGACAGCAAAGTGCAATCAATCAAACTAATAATAGCTTTTTGTTACTACTAGTAAGGCACTTGTTACTACTAGCGTGGCACTTGTTACTAGTAGTAACAAGAGTCTGATGTTCCGATGCTCCTTAATTTTCCATGCGTTTGATGATCCTATGAATTGAATATCAGATGTCACCCAGTGTCAGGAGGAGAATGGCACACAGTATGTCGCCCCGGATGTCTCCGGGTTGCACTTCGCAGAAACCTTTGATGGAGATGCTGCGTGGCTGAAACAATTGCTGCACAAAAGGCAGCGTCGGTTCGCCTTTGGAGGTTGACCTGCGGAGCTTCCAGTGGGGCTAGTGTTAGAGGGGGCTGTCAACAGATTGGAGATTTTGTGATTCCTGTTGCGAGCATGTATTCTTAGTTCTTCGTGAGCCCTTCTTGCAGCAATGTGCCAGGTTTTTTCGCGATGGAAGCACTCCACAGCAGATGCTTTGTTGCAAACACGGTAGGGAGTTGGCATGGGATCAAACATTTTTCTGCATCAGGCTTCTCAGACTCGCCTGTAATGTTGCAGTGTTTCTCCCACTCCGTCGCATGGTTTCTTATTGAACATTTCATAGATATCCGAGTCTTGTCCGTGGAGTGGGCCTGTTTCCTATATATATATATAAGTCGTTGAGGGCTCTGAAGACCTGTCAGGAGAAGTACAACGGCCAGTTCTCTGTGTCGACGCGAGCCACAGAGGCCCTCTGGAGATTGCAGTCATTTCAGAGAGGGGGACAGACAGAGAGAGAGAGAGAGAGAATGAGAGAGAGAATGAGAGAGAGAATGAGAGAGAGAATGAGAGAGAGAATGAGAGAGAGA